GGTCAAGTATTCATGATTAATAATTCAATTGATCAATCAATCAAAAAAAAAAAAATAAGTTGATCAATCAATTCCTTACTTTGACTGACTTTTGTGTATCCGGCCCATCGCTTTTCTTGTTTTCACATATTCAAACTGGCCATGGCGGCTTTAGTCACCCCTTCGCTCTTCTCTCTCTGTCCTTTCCACCCTCATTCATCAACACAAACTCTGTGTTCCTGACGAGTACGCACGAGCACGCGGCGGACACTTCGAGAGCGGTCCCGTGTTTGGCTGTGACAGCGTGCAGCTGTCCTGCTAACAGGTGTGACTTTCAAGCCAAAAAAAACAAAAAACAACCAAAAAAAAAGTGCAAAGATTCGGAGCGAGCAACGTGTTCCTGCTCACCTTTAGTCATCGTCCCATCACGCACGATGCTGACAGAATACATATCATCATCATTATCATCATCAACTTGGAAGTTTGGACAAGAATCCAAATGTGTTTGAGCCACAAGCATACACACGCACAAAAAAAAAAAAAAAAAGCAGCAGTGGACTGCAAACCATCAATACAAGAAAGCATGCAGCTGTGCCACAAACATCATCTGGAGCACTTCACAATCAATCTTCATCTCATAACGTGACAAAAATGTCAAGAAAATACATCCGCGTCACCGGAAATGCCGATGGAGTATTTTTTTCCGAATCCACTATTCTACCGATTATCCCATCGATGAATGGAACCAACAAAATGTACATGTGAGGCGCAGGTAGCATTGCTGTCCACAAGGGGTCGCCATTCTCACATTCGACTGTAATGTCATGACGTTGACTGTGTATGGCTTTAAAAGGCGGGGCCTGACCCGGTGAGTGACGTGGGAGTCATCAAATGAGAATGAAGAGTTGGAGGGTATTGTGTGAGGCTTTGAGCCAGAGAATTTTCTTGGATTTTATGAGTTATAAATAAGTCCAAGAGTGGTTTATTTTTGGGACACCGTTGTACAAAAGAGACATGAGGGACAGCACACACACAGTAATAAGTTCCAGCAAGGTGATTTTTTTTTTCTTCCCCTCTATGTGCTTATTTTTACACCCACGGATTTCAAGGTCTGCACTTTGTTTCTTGGAAAAAAAAAAGGGGGGTGGGGGGAAGGGAGCTAATCTGTCGCCTAGCAACACCTCCTACTGCCACGTACAAGCAGCAGACAAATAGCATCAGATTTGAAAAAGAAAGAGAAAAGTCAATGAAGGTAATAGTTACATTTATGAATCGTTTACATAAGTCCTGACTTGGGACCGCTTTCTTTACGTAAAGCTCCATAATCTAGATGGACAGACGGATTGATATGGTAGCTATTGTTAGATACAGTATGGTGGACCAGGGATGGGCCACAAAATACACGCCTGTTTTGATTGAAGTGTTGGCCTCATTCAAGCAAATTACCATTAGCTTATCTGTGGCGTTTCACATTTGAGGTTAACATGAAGCCAGTGGACGTCGGTTCTCAAATGGTTGGGTTCAACATTTTAGTTTAGAATGTCCATCCATCCATCTATTTTTTGATCCACTTTATCCTCACAAGGGTTGTGGGGCGTGCTGGAGCCTATCTCAGCTGTCTTCGGGCAGTAGGCGGGGGACACCCTGAACCGGTTGCCAACCAATCGCAGGGTTTGGAATGTTTCATTCTTTTTTGTTTTACATGTCAGATTGACAGTAAATTTCAAGTGGGAGGGACAGAATCTTCTTTGGACACCAGGGCGAGCGAGACGGTTCCTCAGAGTGATCCAGTGGACGTCGGTTCTCAAATGGTTGGGTTCAACGTTTTAGTTTAGAATGTCCATCCATCCATTTTTTGATCCACTTTATCCTCACAAGGGTTGTGGGGCGTGCTGGAGCCTTCCCAGCTGTCTTCGGGCAGTAGGTGGGGGACACCCTGAACCGGTTGTCAACCAATCGCAGGGTTTGAAATGTTTCATTCTTTTTGTTTTACATGTCAGATTGACAGTAAACTTCAAGTGGGAGGGACAGAATCTTCTTTGGACACTAGGGAGAGCGAGACGGTTCCTCAGAGTGATTTTATCAAATAGTCTCCCAACTCTTGACAGCGTAAGAACTGGCGTTAAGGAATACAAAAGTATCGTGGGTGAGTCTGGGACATATTCTTCATGATAAATGAAGGTTAACTAAACACCTAATGAAATTGCAGGAGGTGACCTTTCTCTGTGATTTGCAACATCCACTTCAAAAGCTGCATGAAAATATGCCTTTTTTTTTAGATAATTATGCTGATTCTGCCATAGGAGGCCACGCAAAAATAGAGCAGCGCATGTAATTAGGAGCACTTATGATGTTATTTTTGTTTGTGAAACAAAGGGTGTGCATGACTCACTTCATCTTGGGTCCATTCAAAAGCTGAACGAGCTCGACCTTTGATTCGGACTTCATTGACGGATTCACGACGAGCGAGTGTGGGTGATGTCATTGCCACGCAGCGACACACATCATAAGGCATATTATTAGAACTGTAACGAGCCTGTATTGCACCTTTTCGAGTTCAAAGTGTTGCACAATAGAGTGGCCGAATGAGACGACAATGACAAGGATCGCATGCTGTTAATTGGCCCAAGTCATTTCCGACTTGCTGTTATCAAATCAGTTCAAAATATAAATGCAAATGAATGTATACATTTTTTGGGGTGTTTTTATTTTGTTTTAACAAAACACTGAAATATGACTTTAGCAAGTATGTTTCAGGCAAATGACAGAAGTCGATCATTAGGACATTTATACATGTAATAATAGCAGGGCTGCTTTTGGAGTCTGCCAATCCTCCATTAAGCATCTCCAGTTGGTCCAGAATACTGCTGCTCACCTCTTGACTGGTACTCATAAGAGGGAGCACCAACTTCTATACTGGCATCCCTTCACTGGCTCTCTACACATGTTAGAGTTCTTTGTAAGATCCTATTTGTTCTCAAATGTTTAAATGGCCTGTCCCCACCTTACCTCTCTGAGCTCCTCCGCCCTGCCCGGTGACACTTTTAGAGGTACCAAGAACTAAGCGGAGGCTCAGAGGGGATTGAGCCTTTTCTGGTGGTCCAGTGGTTAGTGCGTTGACCTCACAGTGCAGAGGTCATGGGTTCGATCCCGGCCCCGGCCTTCCTGTGTGGAGTTTGCATGTTCGCCTGGGTCTGCGTGGGTTTTCTCTGGGTACTCCGGTTTCCTCCCACATTCCAAAACCATGCATGGCAGGCTGATTGAACACTCTGAATTGTCCCTAGGTGTGAGTGTGAGCACGGATTGCTGTTCATCTCTGTGTGCCCTGCGATTGGCTGGCAACCGGTTCAGAGTCTCCCCCGCCTACTGCCTGAAGATGGGTGGGATAGGCTCCAGCACTCCCCTGCGACCCTTGTGAGGAAAAAATGGATGGATGGATAAATGCAGTTGAGTTGAGTTGAGACACAACATTGGGTGTACCTGTCTAATGAGACCCAACACTAAAACTGTACTGGGTTGTATATTCTGTCTGAAGAAAACATGGGAAAAAAAGCACACTTTGGATTGACAATGACAAAGGTGTTTTTATGATAAACCGACGAAGAGGCAACCAAAATATGAGAAACGGTGCTAGTTCTATTTCCTTTTGTCCATTCAAGTGCTCCTCCTCGTCTATAAATAACATGAGAGTGACTGCAGGGGGCGCCATGCAGCAGCAGCACCCACCCCCCCTTCCCGTGCCTCATCGGTAGGATGCATCTTTCAATCTATTTTTAGACCCCCCCCCCCCCCCCCCACACTCCCCCCCACACACACACACACACACACACACACACACACACACACACACACACACACACACACACACTGCTCTCTCACATGCACCGCAGCCAAGACTGCGGGATGCTGCATGCACTTCATGCATCCATGCATCGCTTCGTCCTTCACCCATCCGTTCATCCCTTCATTCATTCCACTTGTGACTTGGCTCCTCCTCCTTCATTCATGCATTCTCAACATCACAACGGAAGGATTATCCAGCGGCACATTCATTATTAGCAAACGCGATAGATAGATAGATAGATAGATCGATAGATAGATCTAAAGATAGATAGATAGAAATAGATAAAAACATGACAGAATGATATAGATTAAATGTTAGCTTGATTGAGAGAGGTCAATCGATAGATGACGGGATATAGAAAAGACACAGACGTACAGAAATATAGATGTATAATGAAATGGAGAGATGGAAAGAAAAAAATAAAAAGATAGAATGATAGCGCAATACAAAGACGAAAAGACAAATGAAATGACAGAAAGATGACAGACACACAGACAGAACGAGAATGATCCAGCAATAGAAAGATAGCCAGGGAGAAGAATTGAAGGGTAAAAGATTTTTTTTTAAACAGTCAGACAGATGGGATAGAATGGTCGAAAGATGGGCAGAAAGATACAGAATAGAAATCGGAGAAACAGAGTGGTAGATAGACAGCACGAGATAAAATGAAAGAAAGGCAGGAAGAATGATAAAAGATGGAACGATGGAATGAAAGAATGATAGAAAGATGGAAAGAGACACAAGGGCAACGGGACGAAAGACAGACTGACATAAAGATAGAAAATAGACTGAAAGCCAGCCAGAAATGTACCCAGATTGAGACAGGTGATAGAACTGTGACAGCAAGATAGATGGATGGACGTCAAGTGAAAGATAGCAGTGAGAGATGGAAAGATGGGATGAAAGATGGGTAGACGCTAGCTAAGCTGCTCATACAGGAGCCAAATGCCGCCTCTAAACGCATTGACATGTAAACACCGTTCCTCTCCTTGGATGCGGCACATCTCCCTCCCTCCTTACCGGGTGACTCCGTTTTACGTTTTTACGCTGGCCCCGCCCCTTACTCGGTTTTGTCCAAATCAGGCTTTCTGCGTGGCCGGAGCTCCCCGTTTCATCGCGACGTCATCGGCGGGGAGAGGCGAGCGCTGACGTCCGCGTGCAGTCACCGCCGGGGAGGGAGGAGGGAACGAGGGAGGGAGCCAGAGGAGCTCCGCGCTCGCAGCATCCATTCGGATGAGCCGTCCTCCCCCTCCCCTCCCATCCTTCCTCGTTACGTCGGCGGCCGCGTCGGGGAGCCCCCCTCGCTCCCAGGCTATATAAGACACCTGCGAGCAGAGTCCCTCACACACTGTCAGCGGATCGAGCCCAGCGCAGGCCAGCCATGAACAAAGTCCAATAGCCGGCGAGCGCGCGCGTGCCCTCCAGCGGGACTTCCTTTGCCCTTATTTTTTTTTTTTTTTCAGGGGGGGGGGGGGGGGGGGGTTGGCCATCCGTAACAAGCATGTACCGCTCGACCAAAGGAGCCTCCAAGGCCAGACGGGACCAAATCAACGCCGAGATCCGCAACCTCAAGGACTTGTTGCCCATCTCCGACGCCGACAAAGCCAAGCTGTCCTACTTGCACATCATGTCGCTCGCGTGCATGTACACCAGGAAGTCCGTCTTCTTCTCGCCGCCGGGTAAGACGACGCGTAGTAGTATCATCATCATCATCATCATCATCATTTTTACACTCGCAATTTAGCAGAATGTGAAAAAAATTCTTTCCCCCCATTGAAATACTTTGAAATACAAAAAATATATAAACGCGCAATCAAATATTGATGATGTAAAGATAAAGTGTAACTGAGGCAAAAGTCGCACACAAACATACATGCATAGACACATATACATAAACGCCCGTACATACAAACCCTCACACATTTATGATCCAATGCAGTACACGCAAATACAAACATAGATACACGTACACATTCACGCGCGTGTGCACGCGCTCACAAATGCACAAAGTAGGACTCAAGTGTTGATGTGTACCTTAAAGGGGTGGGGATTTATCACACGATTTAGTTGAGTGTGAACGTCTCAATTCTCTCTATGTGTTATTATTTTTTTTTTTTTGCGCGGGGGGGGGGGGGGGTTGGGGGGTGGGGGATAAAGTGCAGTTTGGCAGTGTGTGTGTGTGTGTGTGTGTGTGTGTGTGAGAGACGTGGAATCAACAAGTGTTTTTTTTGGCGCGGCAGCAAGGAAACTCTGTCTCGGGTCCTGGAAACAGCTTCACTTCATCATTAGTCGCTATCCATGGTGCTGACAGCACCTTCCTTATGCTTTAAAAAAATCTACGCGACAGTATTTCGATTTTTTTTTTTTTTTTTTTTATTGGGCCAAAGGCAAAATGTCCATTTATCTATCCATGCCGACATATATATCAACCTATTGCTATCAATCGATCCATTTATGTTAATTTTATTGTCCGATTATTCTTTCTATCATCACCCACCTGCAGCCATCTATAACTTTTATTCAATTTTTCTAGATTTCTTTATTATCCATCTATTGGGCCACCATTCATGATTCTGTTTGGAAAGTATGTTTTGTTTTTAAATTGAGTAGATGTCTGTGTGTTGATTAGTGTCTCTATCCTTGGTGCTGAAACCCCATGACGCCCCCAATGAAAAGTTTTTTGTTTTGTTTTGTTTTTACTAGAGGCCGGAAGTGCATCGGTGGAGCCGGGTGCCCGCTTCCTGTCCCTGCCCGAGCTGTCTGACCTCATGCAGGCTCTCCCAGGCTTCCTCATGCTGCTCACTGCCGAGGGGAAACTGCTCTACCTGTCCGATGCCGTCTCCGACCACCTGGGTCACTCCATGGTGAGTCCGTCCATCCGTCTACTGAAAGATCAGCGGGATCACACTTGCCTGTGTGTCAGGTGGACCTGGTGGCGCAGGGAGACAGCGTGTATGACATCATCGACGCTTCGGATCAGCTGACTGTCAGGAATAATCTGTCCGGCGGAAGCTCCCCCGAGATGGGTAAGTGGCGGTGTTGATCGTCTGTGATTGCCATGTGTGCCAATAAACGTTGGTTCGTTTAGTTCTCATCACCTTTCCCCCGGTTTTTCGGTGACAGATCGTCTCTTCCGCTGCCGCTTCAACACCTCCAAGTCGGTGCGCAGGCAGAGCGCCGGGAACAAGCTGGTCCTGATCCGAGCTCGCCGCCTGTCCGTGCCGGCCACCAGCAGCGCCAGCGCCGCGGCTGGATCCTACTGGACCTCCAATCCAGTCTGGGTGTGTTTCTGCTCCCCTCTGGAAAGCCATCCCACACGCTCCGGAGCGGAGAGCACGTCTAGTGGTTCTCCCGTGGCCGACGCCAACCTCTTCCTTGAAGGCTTTCACTCCCAGCACGGCAGAGACTTGAGGCTGCACGCCGCACACGAAAGGTACACGCCACAAGTCGGAGTGACAAGACTGAACAGGATTAGTTGTTCAGAAACACATAGTCACATTGGAGAAACAAAAAATTACTTAGGGGGTTACTGTATACAATTTGGAGGACAAAAGTATAATTTCAAGAGTCATAGTTTGAAAGTTGTGTATTTTGAGAAAAAAATGCAAGGGGATAGAGGAGAGACAGCAAGGAGAAAAGTTGTACCGTATTGGCCCGAATATAAGACGGTGTTTTTTATAGGTAAATAAATAAGACTGAAAAAGTGGGGGTCGTCTTATATTCGGGGTCTAGACTTATACCCATTTACGACGCTAGATGGCGCCAGATATCATTGAAGCGAATGCTAAACTTGACTCCCCAGGCCAAAGTGAACCCCTGTCATGAAGAATAAAAATAAAAATAGCGGTAGCATGAAGAGGAAAAATTAAAAATAACGGTAAGAAAGAAAAGAGAAGAAAATAATAGAAGAGATAACAGAAAATGGAGAAACGTAGCGACAATCTGGAGAAAAGTGGGTCGAAGATCGGCCAGGTTAACCGGCAGCTGAGGAGAAGTTATGATGTCATTTACATTTCAAAAACCAGAAGCCATTCATTTACGAATGTGATTGCTATAACATATTTAAATGTTCAGATATTAGGATTTGAATGAGGCAAAATAGCATGCTTTTTCTCTCAAATATGTTGTTATAATCATTTGTTTCAGATGTACTGTAATTATTTTCTGTGTAAAAATTAATTTGGTGTTCAAAAAGTCTTTTTTCAAAATTAAGTCTTGAAAAAGAGGGGGTCGGCTTAAATCAGGGTCGTCTTATATTCGGGCCAATACGGTATTTACAATCTACCTGATCATGAAAGTGTTTTTTTTTTTTTTTTTGTTAAAAAAGAAAAATAATCTGCCTGTTTTCAAGAAAAAAAGTCTTTTCAAGAAAGTATTATTTTTGATTTAATATAATATGGATATGTGAGAAATATGGAGCTGGAAGCTTGCCCGAAGGCGGCCTAATATTGGCCTGCATCCTTTAAGTGAACGTGTCCCCCGCAGCGTACGCACTTACCTCGGCTACGACGTAGCGGCGTTGCGATCCCGCTCCTGGTACGGCCTCCTCCACCCGCATGATCTGGCACACGCCTCCGCTCAGCATCGCAGCCTGCGTAAGTGTCAGCTCACAAAACACCCACGTGTACATGCCGACGGGAACGCTGCACCGCCTGCCGCCTAACTGAAAAATAACCCGAAAATGAGGATGATAAAGGCGCTTACGAAGTTGCGCTGTGACTCATCAGTGCGAGAGGGAGGAGAGGGACGAGGCGAGATGGTGGTCCGTGTGCAGGCTCGGGACCAGACGTGGGTTTGGCTCTACATGGTCCTCCAGCTACAGTCCGGAGACGTACCCGTCGCCAGCAGCAATTACGTGATTAGGTAGGCAACGCCACCGCCTCGTACGATTTGCGAAAACGCAACATGCTCTCACCACAGTTCTTGAGCCAAGGCACATATTTGACATGAGTAAAATCTCACTGCGTTGAAAGATGTTTGAGCGTTTAGAATATAAGACAGCTTAAGGTCTACGTTGACAAGGTGGTGCCAAAGCAGTACCTTTGTCTCATGAAACTTCTCAACTCACTTTGACATAGTTTCTTGGCATCAAGATGGCATCAAATGCACTTCTTTTGTTCAAATGGAACTCTTCAGTTAATTTCAACATTGTTCCTTGGCACCACAATGCCACAAGATGGCAGAAAAGTACTGCTTTTGTGTAAGTGAAGCCACTCACTTCACCATAGTTCATTGGTCCACAAGTGTTAATGACAACTCACTTTGACATCATCCCTTGGCACCAAGATGGTATCAAAAGCATTACTTTTGCCTCAACGAAGCTACTCAACACAGTTCAACAAAGTCCATCGGCATCAAGATGCCACAAGATGGCGTCAAAGCACTACTTTTTCTTCTTCTAAATAGCAGTCCAAAACCTTATCTGATACCGATTCGATTCCCAAACAGTTTTCATTTTTTTTCAATTTCAGTGATTCGGAGGCATGGTCAGTGCGTCAACAGCTGACCATGGAGCAGACTCAGCTCAGCCTGGTCCTGAGCTCAGGCCCCCCCCAGCAGGAAAGCCTCCAGTCCCCCGACACCCTGTCCAGCCCCGACCAGGTGTTCACTCCCGGCAGCAGCGGCTTGTCAGGCCAGTCCTTCGACTTCAGCACGGCAGGCTGCAGTGTGGCCTCCTCGGACGAACGGGCCGGCTCGGCGGCCGAGGCCATGCAGACGGAGGGGGAGCCCCGCTCCAGCATCTCCTCCCTGGAGGAGGAGGCCTTCTTCCAGCCGCCCGCCGTGAGCAGCCCCTTGGCGGCCCCCTCTCCTACGCCGGTCACGGTGGAGACGGTGTCCGACTTGGACTTCTTAACCCAAAACATCCTTATGCCGCCCTCCTTCGAGCTGGACCCCCCTCTGCCGGTTCTCCCCCTGCCGCTGCCGCCCATCCCCACCTCGCAAGCTCAGCAGACCAAAGAGTTTGTGTGCACGCCTCCGTATACCCCCCACATTGGAGGGGCTAGCTTCCCGTTCGAGGAGCCCCACTTCAGCTTCGACCCCACCGGCACCACCACGCCGCCTCCGTCCGCCACCACAGCCACTGCCACCACCTCCATGGCTGCGTCTGCCTCATCCGGGGCCCCGCCAGTCACCACCGCCTCCAGCCCTGCGCCCCCCACCACCATGTCTACCAAGCTCCCCCTCAGCCTTCCCACCCCCTCCACAGAACTGCTCTTCGCGACGGATCCCTGCTGCGGAGCTCTGTACGAGAAACTGCCCCCGACGCCGGACAGCCCAGGAGACGGCGACTGCACGGTGATGACCCTTCCCGAGGTTCGGGGTCCGCTTTATGTGGACGTGCCCCTGGGGCCTCTTCAGTGTCCGCCAGAGGGGATCCTCACCCCCGAGGCTTCCCCCGGAAAACAGCCTTGCCTCCCCTTCTTTTCCCTGGAAAGAGAACGGGAGAAGGAGAGGGCGGAGATCTCCTTGCTGGCCCAGCACATCAGCTCCCTGGTGGAGGGCTTCTATCTGGACCCTCTCCTGTCCAAGCTGTCCCCTCCATCCATGTCCCCCTTGTCCAACCCTCCATCCCCCTTCTTGGCTCCCGTCGAGACAGTCGATTCGGTCCAAACGCTTCGGGAGTTTTATCCCATCAAAGCGTGGTGCGGCCTGGATATTCCCATGTTCCTGCCGGATGACACATCTCTGTTTGAAGAGAGTATCCTAGACACCCTCCTCCAAGACGTACCACCCGAGTCCCCCTCGCCCATTCCCATCCTGGACCCCTCGAGCCCGATCCCTCCTCCCACACCAATGTGCTGGCAACAAGCCTCCCAGTTTGAGGGAGCGGGCCAATTCTGTAGCGTCCAATCGGCGCAACCTAACTCGGCGGACGGATGCGGAGAGAGCGAGGAGGTTCCCATGGAGGAGGAGCCGGCGGAGGAAGCGGCGGAGATGGAGGTGGCATCATCTCCTGTGTCCTTGTGCTCCTCCATACCGGCTTCTCCTCCGCTAATCCTCACCGCCTCACCGAGGCCCACTACCGCCACCACCGTCGCCTCGACCACACCGGCGGCCTCCCCTGCAGCCGCCGCCTCCTGCACTCAGTCCCTCCTGGAGGAACTGGCCGTGCTAGAGCCCATGTTTGGGGCAGGTGCCTCGATCGCCCCTGGTTTAGGGCAACAACCTGAGTTGTATCAACTCCAGTGTCATCCATCGCCACAGTGCTTCCACAAAGGTGAGATCCGGATGGATACATTTTGTTCTGTATCTTCTTACAAAGTACCTCACTTTTGTCTCACTGATACTACAACCAAAAAAGTTCGGGAGATTGGGCTATGAGGTGAAATTTCCAGATGATTCTACAATGCGCTAGAACCTTCGGGTCAACTTTACTGCAAACTTTTCAATGCACATGTACAAGAAGTACAGAGACTATAATTTTGCTGGGAGGGGGAACTGAATGTCAAGATTCACAGTAGGTGTTTGATTTATGGAAATTCCCAAAGACATCCACTTCTATTCCTTTCTGTGACTCTCCCAGTCTCTTTGTTGAAATCTGATGAGGTGACACATAAATCGCAAGACACGCTTGCATTTTCGTGTGTACAAGACATGCATCGTTCCTGAGATGGTCATGTAGTTATCCCATATTTACATTTAGCTTCTCATTCGAAAATAACAAGCCGCATGAAAAGAACCGAAACAATTTGACTTTCAAGGTTGGCGATGGTCAAATTACAGTCACCTTAAAAGTGTCTCGTGCATTTTAGGTTCATCCTGAAATTTCATCCAAAAGCTCAATAGCCCGAACTTTTTATGAATCCTGTATTTAAGTTGCTTAATACCGACTCATGGCTGATTAGATTGCGTTTGTTTGTCGTCGTTTGGATGGCTCCATCTGATTTTATTATGACGTATTTTGTAGCTATCAGTTTAGTGTTAACAATCAAAGGCCTTTTTAACATTGAACTTAGTCTTTTGGGTGCGCACCGTGTAGCAACACATAAGGACGACAGCATTCAGATGCTAAATTTGGAAGTACTTGCATAGCAGCCTGCTAAGACATACCAGCGAGGCTTTTGGCGCTGGTTGGTCTATTGGTGTAAGCACTCTGATATCACTCGACCGGCTCCACTCCTATTGGATGCGCCTTCTGATGTCAGCGGAAGTGCATTCCCGAATTGAATATACAGCATTCGGTTCTTGAGTCCGTAACAAATGGATTCCTCGACGGTGCGCCGCGTGTTGCTAAGTGCAGTGTGAAAAGGCCTTCAGTTTCCAAGATATTAAGTCATTTGAATTCTCAAAGAGCCTCTCTATTCTGTTTTTTTTTCCTCTTTCCTAACATGAGCTGACTTGTTCCTTCCCTTTTTTTTGTGTGTGTTCCAGATGGGAGTGGAAGCATCCCTCCGTTCTAAAATAAGTCTGTGACTTACTTCATCAAGTATGGCATATTGTCATATTTTGTGGAGACATACTTTTACTGCAAAGTAAAACATACTTAAGTGTATAAATATACATAATGTATAAAGGACTGACGCCTACATGTCTCTCCCGAGAACAAAAAAAAATGGGCTTTCTAATTTTTTTTTTGTTCCATCATGACGCTGTGCGCTAGTAAACCTGGTGCAAACATTTACAACCAGAACCAGAATAACAACATGGACGCCTGACTGACTGAGTCCTGAGTCCATGTGGTGTCTGCCGCTTCAGATTGACCGTCTGAACTCGTTAAGCGTTGTTTAACTTACAGACATGCATTTGTATTCACTCGTAGTGAAAAATATCTGTTGTGAACATGGACGACAAAAAAAAGCTATTTTAATTGAGAGTTGATTTAATGACTTCTAGCACTTTTTTTGCCTGACGTTCAGCAAACTCAAAATTGAAAAAGGTGCTCCAGTGTGACATTTTGAACACATGCGGAATTGAAAGCACACTCCCGGCTTCTGAATTCTGAGTTTGTGGCTTGCAAACCTTTAACATTCCATATGTGTCTGTACATCTCAACTTGTGTTGATGTTTGTGATGTGCAACAAACTGGAAAAAAAAAAAAAAAAGCATGTAAAGAGATGCTGGTTTATGCTGCCAATGCGCTCTTTCGTCGTACTGTACATTTAGACTCTGAATGTGGACTCTTCAGGTCGGGGATCAGTGTTGGAGGGAAGGGGGTTATATCCGATACGGTTGCAAAGGGGTGGAAATTTTTCAGCTGATTTCCACCGAAGTTAAGATGCGAAATTTTTGGAGACATTCCGAAATGTAAATTTTTCATGGGAATTCAATTTGGAATTGAGAGAACGTTAACGGAAAGTGATCACATAAATTGAAAAACTCACATAGTTGCTGTTTTATTTATTTTTGCTAAAATGAAATGGTTGCAGATTTTCGCTATTTGCAGCACAGCTTGGTCCCTCTCATTGTACATTAATTACAATTTTTTTTCAACCTTGCACAAGTGGTGGCATATCTGAAGCTCGACCAAAATCATCACTTGGAAGAATTCAAACTGCACAAAATCTATATTCTCCAACTCGATTTACGCTGCCTATGCAGGTCCAACTTTAAATGTTGTCAATTGTCGGTTTATTCACGTTGCTTCCCATGAAAAATTTTCAATTCCAAAAATTCCCACAATTTTGCAACCCGAATATCTGCTGGCAGCTTATAGCAGTTCCCGCACTTATCACATTTGTCCTTTTGTTGACAAAAATGACATGTGGGGGGACTTTAGTAGTGAGGCACAATCATTTTTTTAGTAAACAGGGCAAGGAGGGGGTTGGTGCTACTTGTTTCTTTCTTTCTCTGACTTTACCAAGCGACACGGCTTGAGGACGCTCCGATTCCCACGGTGTCGACACGCTCACGTAGAATTGTCTACGCTCAAGTAAAGGATTGATTCCTACGTTCTAGCTATTAAACGGCTAACTTAATACGTATAATACACGTGTACACTTGTATGACTTGTATGTGTGACATGTGAATATATTCCTCTTGGTTTTTTTTTTTCTCCCAGAAGGTTGTAAACATTTGTATGGAGGTTTGTACATAGCAAATATATGAAGAGAGAGAGATTTTTATGGCATCAAATATGAATATATTAAGTATACTTAACTGCAGAATGGACATTGTGGACCAGTGTTCTATTGTGTTGCTTATAAGTGTATTTGAATGTGGACAAACGCATTTATAATAAAGTGCACTTATAATGCGACTGAGGTGTCGTCAGTCCCCACCGAGCGCCCGCATCGTCTCATCGGAAGATTTCTGAACCCTCTCACGCACAAATAATCATAACCTGTAACCTGTTAAGCTGTCCACTGTAGTGACTGCTATCCCTGAAAGGGTTAAGGTTCATCTCCTCATTGGCTCTTTCTCCTCACTGGTAAGACAATTCAGCGCACTAGACTGTGTGTTCATTCTCCTGTTTTTTTTTTTGTTTTTTTTTGGCAGACTCGTCTGACATGTGACTAATGAGGCAAAACTGTGTTTCCGATTGACCAATGTGTGCTACTAGTACTTTTAGCGGTATCACACAATTTTACTCTTTTGACGCCTAGCACATCCCAAGCGGTCCATGTCCACGCCGCATGCAGAAGTCAAGTGCAGTTTTTCCTTGCTAGTAACGTTCCGTTGATCTACCCCACGTGCCCTTGTCACTCTTCTAATTACACTCTTTCTCCTCAGAAGTGAGACAATTCAGAACACGAGTATAAGGATGACAATGCGCTAGTAGAACAGGGCATCAGAATAAATGCTCAGATATCTGTATGAGAAGCCTTGTGAGAATTTAATTGCTATCCCTAATGACGAGGCCACCCGTGTGTGACACATGGAAGCCCAAAAGCGGCATTAGTAGTGAACTAGTATTTGTCTACGAGTCTTCTCCCGGTGCTTTGTGACATTTGAACGTAGCATGTGTCGTTATTCTCCAAGGTGAATTTCAAACATACAAGGAGAGAGATTTCTATG